GCGCCAAGTCGTGTACACGCCTTCGATAGGAACAGTTTATGTGGACCCAATGCACTCTTGATGGAATCATTGACGAGTCTTACCGGAGTGATCTTGACCACTGCAAGAGCACAAGGTCTTATTCATAAAAACTTTTAGCCTTTTTTCCTCTCTTTTTGTTTTTGGTTAAATTACAAGAACGCCTTATCTGTCCCCTAAAATAAATAAATAAATAATAAATAAAATAAAATAAATCACAGATATCGATTTTTTTCATCAAATCCCAAAGTCATGAAAGAGTATCCATCATCTATGGTCATTATTAAAACCATTTGCTTTCTAACGGAACATATCTAGAATTGGATTCACATTATTTTAATTTGATTTTTTTTTCCTATTTTCTCTAATCCAAGGGCGGAAAGGGGGGGAAAAGGGCAAGGTTTGTTATTTCTTCCTTAATTTACTCCTTTAAATCCTTTCGAAAATTCTAAATTTAAATGTTAAAGAAAATCTTGGTCTATTCGCAAAAATTTCCAATGGTGTTAGCTTGAAAGGCTGTTATTCGTGAATTAGATAATTATCCAGATGTCAGATCTTGAATATTGTTAATAGTACTTCAGCTCAACTCATTGACATTTATTAACATCCAACTAACTAACGGATGCATAAGAATACCATTCATGAGCTACAAACGCAGTTTTAAGCATAAACATGTAACGGAAGTAAAACAAGAAAATCCTAACTCAACAGTTTAAAACATTTGATTCTTTGAACACGCTATATCATAGATGATAGAACTGGTACTGCTACGCAAAGACAGTGGACGAGGAAGTAGCACGGAAAACTGCAGCCAAACTAAACGTCAACCTCGTAGTCATCAGCGCAGTCAGCGCTGTCCTAACACTGCGCCCACTTCTTCAACCCACCGTCAGCGCCACACGGACCATATAATGAAGTTCTGAAACAGGCTCAAGCCAAGACTTACATCAACGCGGTCGCAGCCTACATGGACGTAAGAGATTTGGCACCAGCCCACGATTCCGTCTACAAGTTGCCAAAGGTAACTATTGCAAACAATTTTCTTGCAGGTAACTATCACCTTCAGTTTGTATTACAATGTAAACTCCTCCATGAAGGCTTTTAACCACCTCATATTCTTCTCATATCTTTCATGCTAGACTTTTCTTTGCTACCCGGCCCACAGACATTCCTATTGGTCAAGCACAAACTTAGCCCTTTTTTTGCTCGTTTTGACCCCTTGGCAAAAAAAATTGTAGAGTTTAACATTCACTATTTCATGAGCTATATAACTCACGATTTTTGTTTCTTCTTGTCCATTTCAAGTCAATCACAAATAATTAATAGAGGCTCAAAATTCACAATTTTCATAAGTTATAACTCATGATTTTTGTTCATTTCATCCGTTTCAACCTAATGCAAATATTTATGTGGAGTTCATAATTTACAATTTCATAAGCTGCTTATGATGTTAGCCCATTTTCATTTGTTTTGGCTCAATGACAGATAATTTTGCGAAGTTCAAAATTCTCGATTTCATGAGCTATAATCAACGCCTTTTGTCCATTTTCTTTCATTTTTACCTAATGTTTGTGAAGTTTAAAATTCAAGATATCATGAGTAATAACCCACGACTTTTATTCATTTTTAATCATTTTGAGATATTGTCAAATATTTAATTGGAGTTCAAAATAAAACAATTTCCCGAGCTACAACTCACAACTTTTGTCCATTTCCATTTGTTTCCACTAAATGACAAATAATTAAGCAGCGTTGAAATTTTAGGATTTTATGAGTTATAACTCATGATTTTGGTTTATTTTTGTTTGTTTTGTTGTAATGATCAATAATTTTGTAAAGTTTAAAATGTTTGATTTCATGAGCTATAACCCACGATTTTTGCCTATATTTGTTTGTTTCCACCCAATGGTAAATAATTAAGTGGAGTGCAAAATTTATGATTTTCATGAGCTATAACGCATGATTTTTATTCATTTTCTTTCACTTTAACCTAATGACAAACAAGATTACCAAATGTGCTAGGCAGTTTAGGCATTTAAACAACCACTGCTAAAAAATTAGGCATCCTAGACGGAAAATTCCGTCTAGGATACATAGAATTCCGTCTAGGATGTGTATCCTAGACGGAATTCCGTCTAGAATAGTCGTCTGGAAAGTTTCCGTCTAGAATACTGTATTCTAGACGGAAATTCCGTCTAGAATACATCCTAGACGGAATATTCTAGACGGAATTGAAACCGTCTAGAATACATTCTAGACGGATTATTCTAGACGGAATTTCCGTCGAGAATACTGTATTCTAGACGGAAAAATTTTTCGTCTAGAATGAGTATTCTAGACGGAATTTCCGTCTAGAATACTCATTCTAGACGGAAATTGGTTTTTTTATTTATTTTTATTTAAAAAAGGCATCCTAGACGGAATTTTAGTATCCTAGACGGAATTTCCGTCTAGGATACTGTGCTACAGTACTTTTTTTTTTTTACAGAATCTACTTTGTTTTTTACAGAGTCTACTTTGGGTGCATGTACACAATATTGAACAACAAAAAATTATATTCATATCCAACACAATCTAATTATATTACAATATCAAATCCCATTATATTCAAATAATACATTCACCAAAATAGTAGAGAGATACATAAATTGTTTACAAACTTTTACATAAATTATTTACAATGGCTATGACACTGCAGAAGCTTCTTCAACTCCTTGCTGAACTTTCTGCTTCGTTTCACACACTCCATTATTTCTTGCCTATATCAAGGGGAAAATATTTTCCATAAGTAACCAAAAGACATAATTGACAGTATATTGCAAAGAGAGGGAGAACAGACCGCGATAAAGGATGGTCATCACACCCTAAAAACGTTTGACCTCTAAAGTTTTTCTTCATGATTGCAATTGCGAGAGATGCAGCATCCTAGTATGCTAAATTGATGTAAATGTGTTTACCTGAAGATCTTGAATACAAAATACACTACTAAACACCACCCAGTTTTATAATGAATAGCTGTCTCAAGAAATAGACTTTTAAGCTGGTAATACGTTTGCTAGGACTCTAAAAATTAAGACGTAACTTTCAAGTAAATCCAAACAAAAATTTGACCACAACCTTTAATTTAAATGGCAAAGAAACGATTGAGCTAATTAAGATAGACAGTCGATCTAGAGTATTCCTAATAGAAATCACCGTTCAATAATAGTAAGAAACAAAACCGCAAGGACGAGGAGTCTCAGTCCGATACCTCGTCAAGAGATCGCGCCAAGGCGCATTGAATTACGCCGGGACCCGACCATCACCGAGGAATCACCCCACTACCTCCAACCAAATATAGAAGCAAGTGTCCCTCTACTTCATGACAAGAACTAGTAACGCGTTCATGTTGCAGATCCGTTGAATAAAGTTAATAACTTAGATTTGGCTAAAACTTCCTTCAAATTCCAAATTGGCACCTCGCCACAGCTTGCCTATTTGACCTGAAAAAGCCCGCACAAAGAAACGGCATTGCATGGAAAGGCCTAAATCGATTCAAGTAAATATATACAGGCAGATGTGCACTGACGGCAACATGTGCGCTATGAAAGTTAATAAGGAAACCAAGACCTGCAGCTTTGAAAATCAACGCAATACAAGCCAAGGGATTTAATGAAAGATTGAGCAACAAGAGAGCGCACTGTAATACTGCAATGCATGAACCAAAAAGGACTGATACCTCCAATACATGGTAAAAAAAGAGAAGAACAATTGAAAAAAACCAAAAATTTTCCTAGAAAAAAAAAAAGAGAAAAAAAAAAAAAAAAAAAAAAATAATAAAAAAAAAAAAAAAAAAAAGTAAAAAAAAAAAAAAAAAAAAAAAAAAAAAAAACAAAAAAAAAAAAAAAAAAAAAAAAAAAATTTTAAAAAAAAAAAAAAAAAAAAAAAAAAAAAAAAAAAAGAAAAGAAAAAGAGAAAACAAAGAAAAAAGAAAAAAAAAAAAAAAAAAAAAAAAAAAATAAAAAAAACTCAAAAAAAGAAAAAAAAAAGAAAGAAAAAAAAAAAAAGAGAAAAAAAAAAAAACATTTTTTTTTAAAAAAAAAAAACATAAATAAAATTTGGTTTCTAAAAAAAAAAAAAAAAACAAAAAAAAAATAAAAAAATAAAAAAAAAACAAAAAAAAAAAAAAAATAAAAAACTATATTTCTTTCTAAAATAAAAAAAAAAAAAAAAAAAAAAAAAATAAAGAAAAAAAAACAAGGAAGAAAAAAAAAAAAAAAAAAAAAAAAAAAAAACAAAAAATTAAACAAAAAAAAAAAACAAAAAAAAAAAAGAAAAAGAAAGGCTTAAAAAATTTTTAAAAAAGAATCAAAAAAAAAAAGAAGGAAAAAAAAGAAAAAAAAAAAAAAACAACACAAATAACCCCACACTTACTGGATCGCATAAATTATTATAACATATCCTTTTGTTTTTTTGCTAGGTCATTTAGTATAATAAAATATGTTCACTCTGATCTTTGAGATGCCATCTTACAATGTAGTTGCGATCTAAAAGAAATAGCGAGGCAAAAGTTAGGTCTTATACAGACTGTTTCTTTCCTTCGTCTTTGTTTGGCGTAACAAGACAAGCCTGCGCGGAAGGATGAGGCGCCAGGAATTTTTGCCAAATGGTGACCAAAATGTGAGGCTAAGATTGCTCAAGTATGAATCCAGAACAACAAAATTGTAGGCTAGGTGATGTAAATAGAAACATCATGATCAAAAGCATTTTTTTTTTCTATTCTGAACGAATCATTTGTCAGAATTTCTAATACAGTTAAAATTCAACCGCAGGACCCAAGTTCAACTTTTATTCTGTCAACTTGTCAGCCTTCTAAATTTTTGAAAACCAATATAAATTAATTGTATTCCTTCGCATTACCTGAAACGTTTGTCCGGGACACAAACACAAATTTAAAGGCACTTTGCCGAGCTAAATAGATGTTTTTCGCCAATGTCGCCATCATCGAGCCACATGAACCTGTGGAGGAACGCGCCGCTCTCCCTGCTGACGAGCTCTCCGGCGTGAGGACCCGCACATGAGGGCGAAGCGGTCCTCTGGTAGAGGAGGAGATTTCCACTTCTCCTTCAAAAAACAAACCCAAACACAAAAACCTCAATAAAAATCCCAAAAAAACACAAAAACTAACAAAAAAATCAGAACTAAACTGCAGCTGCGTTCTAATCAAGCTGCATCCGCAACGCTCCTCCTCCATCCTACACCCAAAAAACAAAACATCACATTTACATCCAAACATCAAATTTCTAGGGTTTCTTTTTCTCCCTGATTGAATTGAAATGAGAGAATCAAGGACCTGAGGGAGATCCGGTGATGGATCCGATCCGGAGTTTGTTGGAGGTGGCGGGGTTGAGGGAGGCGGCAACGACGAGGAGGTCAGTGAAGCGTAGGGCTTTGAGGCGGCGGTAGATGGCGGAAAGATAGAGAGAGGGAAGGAGTTAGAAAGAGAATTGGGGAGGGGGGAGGGGGGAGTGGGGTTCTTAATATATTGATTTTGGGCTGAAAATTTTGGGGGGAGAAATTTCGATGTGGGGGGAAATTTTAATGGGTTAATTTTTTTAAATGAGCCAAATTATCCTAGACGGAAATTTCCGTCTAGGATGAGTATCCTAGACGGAAATTTCCGTCTAGAATAATTGGTTATTTATTAAAAAAATAAAAAATAAAAATACCGTCTAGAATACTATTCTAGACGGAAAATTCCGTCTAGAATACTTTATTCTAGACGGAATATTCTAGACGGAAAATTTCCGTCTAGTTTAATACATTCTAGACGGAAAAAATTCCGTCTAGAATGTTCCGTCTAGAATACTCGATTTTCTACTAGTGAACACTTAGAGTCTATGCGTGCTTAGGCGAGGGCCAGGGTTGGGCCTAAACAACTTTTTTTTTAACTAGAATAATTGATACTAAATGTTAATGTTATAGAAAGCTTAAGCGCAAAACTGGCGTCTAGGTGGATTTCTTGAGCTATAACCTACAAGTATTAATAATTTTTAATCATTTTAAACCAATAGTAAATACTTTTGTGAAGGCCAAAATTTATAATTTTGTGAGATAACCCATAACTTTTAGCATTTTTTAGTTTTTTTTTATCTATTACAAATAATTTTATAGATGCTAAAATTCACAATTGCCTGGGCTGTAACCCATGATTTTTCATTTTTACTTATTTCGACACTTGGTAAATAATTTTACATAGCTAAAATTCACGATTTTATGAGCTATAACCAATGATTTTTAGCCAAATATTTACTCATTTTGACCTACAGCCATATTATTTCACGGAGGCCGAAATTCATGATTTCATGAGCGATAACCCACGACTATTGACAATTTTTAATCGTTTCGAACCAAAAGTAAGAAAATTTTTATGGAGGCAAAAATTTATGATTTTGTGAGCTATAACCCATAATTTTTAGCTATTTCAATATGTTGATAAATAATTCCACTAAGGTCAAAATTCATGATTTTGTGAGTTATAACATATGATTTTTTGGTCATTTTTAGTCGTTTAGGCCATTGACAAATAATTTTGCGGTGACTAAAATTCACCATTTGATGAGTTACAACCCATGATTATTGGCCATATTTAATCATTTTGATCTGTTATCAAATTATTTCGCTGATGCCAAAATTAAAGATTTCATGAGTTACAACCCATGATTTTTGAGCATTTTTAGTCATTTTAATCTACTACAAATATTTTGCAAAGGCCAAAATTTAAAATTTCATGAATTATAACCCACGATTATTGGTCGTTTTTAATCGTTTCAAACTTGTGGCAAATAATTTTGCAGTCTAAAATTTATGATTTCATGAGCTATAACCCACCATTATTGTACATTTTTAGTCTTTACAAAGCATTGACAAGTAATTTCATCGTGTCCAAATTTTAAGATTTCATGAGTTATAACCCATGATTTTAGCTTTTTTTGTTGTTTTGATCCGTTGGCAAATAATTCTGTGAAGGATAAATTCACAATTTTGTGACCTATAACCCACGATTGCCAACCATTTTAGTCGTTTTGGCTCATTGTCAAATTATTTTGTGGCAACCAAAATTAAAGATTTTGTAAGTTATAATCCATGATTTTTTACCTTTTTTAATTGTTTCACACATTGACAAGTATTTTTGCAGAGGCAAAAATTTAAGATTTCATAAGCCATAACCAATGATTATCGGCCATTTTTTAGGGTTTTGAACTACTAGTAAATAATTTTATATAGTTCGAAATTCATGATTCCATGAACTATAACCCATGATTGTTGGCCATTTTAGTTGTTTTGACCCGTTGGAAAATATTTTCGCAGAGGTCAAAATTGAAGATTTCATGAGCAAATAACCTTATGATTTTTGGCCACTTTTAGTCATTTTGACCCTTGACGACACCCTTAGCAAATAATTTTGCGGTTGTCAAAATTTACAATTTCATGAGCTGTAACTCCCGATTATTGGTCATTTTTAATCATTTTGACACATTGTCAAATTATTTCGAGGAGACCAAAATTAAAGATTTCATAAGCTATAACCAACAATTTGGCAATTTGTAGTTGTTTCAAACTAATGGTAAATAATTTTGTAGGGGCAAAACTTTACGATTTTGTGACATTTTTATTGCTTTGACCTATTGGCAAATAATTTTATAGAGGATAAAATTTTCGATTTTATGAGCTACAACACATTATTTTTTGGCCATTTATGTCATTTTTATTTTTGGCAAATAATATTTCGGTAGCCAAAGCTCATAATTTCATACACAACCAATGGTTGTTGACCATTTTTAGTCATTTTGACCTATTATCAAATAATTTCACGTAGGGCAAAATTAAAGAATTAATGAGCTATAACCCAAGATAATGGCAAGTTTTAGTCGTTTTGAACAAATGGTAAATAATTTTGCAGGTGAAATTATATGATTTCTAAGCTATAACCCAGAAGTTTTGACTTTTTTAAATCATTTCGACTCACTGGAAAATAATTTCTCGAATGTAAAAATTCACGATTTCATCAGCTGTAACCCATGATTTTTGACCATTTTTAGGTATTTCGACCCATTAATAAATCATTCCACGGAGGCTAAAATACATGAATTTGGGAGCTATAACCCATGATTTTTAGTCATTTTTAGTTGTTTTGACCCTTAGCAAATAATTTTAGGGTGGCTAAAATTCACGATTTCTTATGCTATATTTTTAGTCGTTTTGACCCATTGGTAAATTATTTTGAAGAAAAAAAATCACGATTTTATGATTTTTGGTCACTTTTAGCTATTTTAACCTATTGGCAAATAATTTCACTAGGGCTAAAATTCACGACTTCATGAGCTATAACACATGAATTCATGAATTTTACCAAATAATTTCACTAAGGCCAAAATTCATGATTTTTGGTCATTTTTAATTGTTTTGACCTGTTGTCCAATGATTTTATGGGGCCAAAATTCATTCATGAGCTATAACCCACGATTATTGGTCATATTTAGTCACTTTGATCTGTATCAAATCAGTTCGCAGAGGCCAAAATTAGAGATTTCATGAGCTATATATAACTCATAATTTTTGGTCATTTTTAATCACTTTGACCTATTAACAATTAATTTCGAGGCCACCAAAGTTTAAGATTTCATGTGTTATAACCTATGATCATTGGCCGTTTTTAGTCGTTTCGAACTTGTGGCAAATAATTTTTCAGAGTCCAATATTCATGATTCAAGAGCTACGACTCATGATAACTAAACATGTTTAGTCGTTTCGAACCATTGGCAAGTAATTTCTTCGAGTCCAATATTCAAGATTTCATGAGCTGTAACCCACGATTTTTTGTCACATCTAGTCATTTTGACCCATAGACAAATAATTTCACTAAGGCTAAAATTCACAATTTCATGAGCTATGACTCACGATTTTTAGCCATTTTTAGTCGTTTTTAATTCCTTGGCAAATAATTTCACAGATGTGAAAATTCATGATTTCATGAACTAAAATCCATAATTTTTTTGTCATTTTTAGTCATTTCAACCTGTTGGCAAATAATTTTATGGAAGAGAACTCACGATTTCATAAGCTGTAATCCACGATTTTTTTATGATTTTTAATTATTTTGACCCATTGGCAAATAGATTTACAAAAGCCAAAATTCACAATTTCATGAGCAATAAACTACACTTTTTTGGTCATTTTTAGTTATTTTGACCCGTTGGCAAATAATTTTGTGGAGACCAAAATACATAGTTTTCTGAGCTATAATCCATTGTTTTTGCTCATTTTTAGCTATTTTGATCATTTGGCAAATAATTTCAGAGAGGCCAAAATTCATGATTTCATGAGCGATAACCCACAAACTTTAGGCATTTTAGGTATCTTGACCATTGGCAAATAATTTTGGATTGGCCAAAATTCACGATTTTATGAGCTATAACTTATAGTTTTTTTTTGTCATTTTTAGTCATTTCAAGCCGTTGACAAGCAATCACGATGGCCAAAATTCAAGATTTCATGTGATAAAATCCACGATTTATTGGCTATTTTTAGTCATTTTGAACTTGCGATAAATAATTTTATAGAGGCTAATATTCATGATTTCTTGAGCTATGATCCACGATTGTAATACATTTTTAGTCCTTTTAAACCATTGGCAAATAATTTTATGGAGTCCAAAATTCAAGATTTCATGAGCTATAACTAACGACTTTTGGTCATAACTAATCATTTCGACCCAACTAGCAAAAAAATTTATGAAGGCTGAAATTCACGATTTTATGAGGTATATAACGCACGATTTTTTGACCAATTTTAGTCATTTCAACCTCTTAACAAATATTTTTGCACAGGAGGAAATTCATGATTTCATAAGCTATAACCCATAATTTTTTGCTCTTTTTAAACATTTTGACTAATTGGCATATAGATTTATAACGGCTAAAATTTATGATTTTTGGCTATTTTTAGATATTTTGACTAATTGGCATATAGATTTATAGTTATAATCCATGATTGTTAGCTATTTTTAGCTATTTCGACCGTTGGTAAATAATTTTGTGGACGTCAAAATTCACGATTTTGTAAGCTATAACCCACGTTTTTTGGCCAACTTTAGTCATTTTGACCCTTCGTAAAAATTTCGTGATAGCCAAAATTTACAATTTCATGAGCTATAGCCGATAACCTATGATTATTGGTTATTTTTAGTCATTTTGACCCGTAGTCAATTTATTTCGTGGTGGGTGATGCGGCATAAATATATACCAAAAATTACAAGTACACAATTAATCAAGTTATAGTATAAAAAGTTATCGATCTCACGAGGAAGGTGTTTGTAGGAATTTATTAGAATCAGTTCGTATGTTGTGTGCGTGATAAATAGGAGTGATGATAAAATGTGATTGTGGAGAGATAGAGAGAGTGAAAGCGATAGTGTGTAAATCAACACAAAATGTAAGTGAGAGTGGATGTGACAAAGAATGAATGATTTTCACAAAGAGAGAAAGAAAGATGAATAAAATCAAAAATCAAAAAGAAAAATCAAGAATAAAAAAAATTCAAGAAAGTAAAGATGAATGATTCAATTAAAGATATGAGGAATCTATAATTGAATCCACTTCTTAGAAAAGAGCAATTCCGTAGAGGGTTCTAGCCTCAAGGCGAATAGTATAAAAAAATAAAATCTAACTATAAAATAAATTGTAAAAACTAAATTATAAAATAAATTGAATGAATTAAATGCGAGAAAATAAATCTACTTTATAAGCATGAAATAAATCTACTCTATAAGCATGAAATAAAAAAATAAATCTACTTTATAAGCATGAAATAAATCTACTCTATAAGCATGAAATAAATCTAAGGCAAGAGGGTTCTAGCCTCTTGATATAAGCATGAAATAAATCTACTCTATAAGCATGAAATAAATCTAAGGCAAGAGGGTTCTAGCCTCTTGACTATTTAAGCAAGAAAATAAAAAGAAAAAATATTAACAAAGAAAAAATTTACCACCCAAGAGGGTTCTAGCCTCAAGATTAAAGCAAACCTCACTCTTGATCTTCATCTTCATCATATCTTCATCTTCATTATCAAACAAAGAAAAGAAAAGAAAAATATGAAGAGGTGAAAAAAAATTTATTTATTAATTGTAACAAAAAGTTACAAAATTAAAAGGTTCTCAATTAAGAGTAACACTCCTCTCCAAAGGGAGTTACAAAATTTTTCGCACCCTCATCCCCTCACTCTCTACCCCTATTTATAGTAAACAATAATGAATGAGAGCCCTTAGGCCTTTTGCTTGTTTTCTTCATTAATTCAATGGGTTTTTGTTGAAAGAAGAGATCTTGGGCTTTATTCTTCATTAACTTTCAAATTCTTCCCATAATTACTTCTCCAGCGCAGAAATTCAGATTGTGCTTCTTTGTACGAATATTTGTTCATGATATGTTCCGATTTTAGAGATATCATAAATACAAAAGTTATAGATCTCGTTCTCAGCTTTCCAGAGAATGTTTATTCAGCCAGTTCCGAGTTGATACGAGAGAGATATGACCAAAACACCAAACATTATCGAGATGTTCAGATTGCATGATTTGTTTCCTTTTTCACAAAACTTCTTCATTTGTTCCTTAATGGTATATTTATTTTTCTTGAGCTTTTGGGCTTGGTCTTTTAGGCTTGTTGCTTGTATTCTTCATTAAATTTTTAGGGCTTTTGTTGAGAGAAGTGATCTTGGATTTTTATTCTTCATTAACCTGCAATTAAAAGAAAAAATAATTATTAGTGATATATTTATTCATTAAAAATAGATAATAAGGATATAAAATTGTAATAAAAATATGATTATCAGTTGCCAAAATTTAAGATTTTATGAGCTATAGCGCATTATTTTTGACTATTTTGAATCATCTCTGCTCCTGTATCCATCATCTTCTACAGGGTCTTCATCATCCATCGTATCTTCAATGTCATTGTCTCCATCAAGATCAATTTACTCTTCAGGTTCTTCTTATGCACGTTGGTCAGTCATGGTTATGTATTATATCACCTTTATCCTATTGCATCTGCTTCGAGCCTTAAAATGAAATCATTAGCGCATAGTTAGAGCCTATTAAACACAACAATTATTTAGGAAAGATGGCACAGACTAAATGGGTATGGGCTGTTGCTAGCATTATCTTAAGCTATCTTTTTAGTGTATGCTCATTTTGGCATTTGTTTAGTCAGGAAGCACATCGATTTTTATTTATTTATTAGCTTCCTCTAATATCCATTAGCAAATATGAGGCTTCCTTTCTAAAATTTTGATTGAGGCTTTTCCACAAACATACCAAGGGCAAAATATATCTACAGAGAGCGACAGCCAAACAACCAAATGAACCCCAAAAAAGAATCAAATTATTTCGTTTTTATTTTAGAAATTAAGCAGTTCCAGTTCAAGGCAACGAAGAAAATATGCCGTCTTTAGAACATCAATCAAATTATTTTGTGGAGGCCAAAATTAAAGATTTCATGATTCGTACAACCCATGATTAGTAGCAATTTTTAGTCATTTCGGATGAATGGAAAATAATTTCATGGAGGAAAAAATTTACGATTTCATAGCTATAGCCCATATTTTTAGGCTTATTTTAGTCGCTTCGACCCATTAGCAAATAATTTCGCAGAGGTAAAAATTCACGTTTCATGAGCTATAACTCATGACTTTAGTCATTTTAATCATTTTAGCCCGTTGCCAAATAAATTTATGGTAATCAAAATTCACAATTTTATGAGTTGTAACCTATGACTTTTGGCTAATTTTAGTTGTTTCGATCCTTTAGCAAATAATTTTGTAGAGATAAAAATTCACGATTTCTGAAGCTATAATCCATAATTTTCAGCCATTTTTAGTTGTTTCGACACGTTGGCATATAATTCTGTGGCAGCCAAACTTTACGATTTCATGAGCTACATCCCATAATTTTTGGATATTTCTAGTCATTTTGACCCGTTGTCAAATTATATCATGCAGGGCAAAATTAAAGATTTCATGAGTTATACCCTATGGTTACTAACTATTTTTTACCATTTCGAACGGTTAAACAATAAAATATTGTAGCATTCCATTCATATTTTAAAAGCTACAACTACTCCCCTTTATATAAAATAACAAGAAATTTATTGTGTAGTCAATGTGGGACTAAATACAATTATCTAATCATAATTATTTTCTTAGTTACAATCCTAATATCTCTCAATCACCAAATCTCTAATTTACACTCCTAATATATTATTCCTAATATAACTATAGTGTAGGCTGTCAAAAAATAATAATAATAATAATGGATAGCTAATTCCCCATCAAGCACCGATGATGGAAGTTACAATCTGACGACTTTCAGAAGGCTACAATTCGAAGACTTTCATGTAGATCGATGAAGGTTACAATCTGACGACCTTCACAACAATTGATGAAAGCTCCAATCAACAACCTTCACAATCAACATCGGGAGTTGTAACCTGACTATATATATATATATCAAAGGGCTAAAAAAAGATTACAAAACGACGATCTTTGCAACGCTCTAATAGAAAGAGACTACAAATAGATGGTCTCTTCAAACCAAGACGTTGAAGTCCTCCTTGCTCACGTTCAGCCGCAAACACAGCTCACGTTCAGCCGCAGACGCAGCCTCCAAAAGCTGCCAACGCAGCTTCATCCGCTACAAACATAAACGCAACCTCATATGTGAGATGATTGATCTTGATGGCTACGACAACATGACTAATATTATATTAGCAACTATTAGAGGTGCTGATAAGCAGTGTAATGATTTTAGAAAAACGGGAAGATCTAGAACCTGCAGTTGATAGAGCGTTATTAGGATGCCTCAATTATCACAAATGGCCTGAATAGAGCCTTCTCGACTGGTCATTGGTGTCATCCATATATAAAGACAGAGAGGGCAAACGTAGCTTCATATCGCTGCAAACGCAGCTCTTCAGCCGCTGCAAACGCAGCTCTTCAGCCGCTGCATACGCAACGTCATATCGCTGTGAACGCGACTCCAGACACTGCATTTAGACGCAGGATCATATCCAGAACGCAAGTCAAGACGTTGACTCGTTCAAACTCAATCCATACGGTTTCGAGAAAATCGCTGTTCACCCACGATCTGGGAGTGGTTTAAATGGGTTGTTATACCCGATTAATAGGGCGACTAAACCCTCATATGGACGCGGATTATGGGGGTAGTTACACCTCTAATTCCCTTATAAATATCAACAAACTCAACAGAGTTAGAGAGGACTTTTTGGGGGCATCAACTTTTGGAGATCGGGTCTTGGGAAATCAGATCCGAGAGAGGAGAGATTCTGAAGGCGATAATCTTCAACAAACTGAAGATTTACAGATATTCAGTACTTGGCTTTTCAACCGAACTATTTTCGGTTCTAACAACTCTTTTTCACCAGAGTTATTACTCGTTCTGAGTTACAAAACTCGTCAAGAGTTCTCAAATCAGTTAGACCACACAGGTCATTCGTTCTAGTGAGTTGAGACAGTCGGTTCGTCAACGAGAAGCAAACTCGACGCAAGCATTCGAGGGAGGCATCTCATCGCTACCATGAAGAACCCAGATTTAAACAAAGGAGAGGATTCAGATTAATCCTCTTCTCTTTTGTAATCAGGAATCCAAATTGTAATCGAGAGTTAAGAGAGTTGTAAACATTCTTTTTCTAAACAGTTAGAGAGAATAAAATCAGAGACAATTCTTTCATTATTTTCTTTTACTTCAAAATTTTCCACAAACATATAGTATTATATATTTCCATAATATATTCCTTAACACTCCCCCTCTAGCTGGAGCATGTATATCATACATGTCTAGCTTGCTACAAACAAGATCCTCTACTTGAAGAGATTTTGCGACATTTCTCATTGTAATTGTTTTCATCTTCTAGTCCTCTACTTGAATGTCTTCCTTCACGAACAACATCAACTAAAATCACCAAACGTGATACCTCGATCTTCTTCACATATTGTCCAAGAAACTACGGGACCCATGAAGCAAATGATCCTCTTCACGGATCAACCAAATAAACGATCTTTTTCACGAATCAACCAAACAAATGATCCTCTGTAAGGATCAATCAAGCGAACAATCCTCTTAACGAATCAACCAAACAAATGATCCTCTTCAGGATCAAACAAATAAATGATCCTTCTTTAGGGATCTGTCAAACAAATGATCCCTCTTTAAGGATCCACCAAAAAGTAAAGCCAAGAAAATAACCTTCATCAAAGCAAACTCTAAATTAAATCGTGATTCAATCAAAATCATTTTTTATAGCTAATGGTGGTCAAGATTTCTAGAATACAAGCGATGGTGATGGTGGCGTCGATAAGTTGTCGATAAGTTGAGTAGGCGATGAACAAAGGAAAATCGAGGCGGCATAGCTAGTGACGAGAACATATATGTCCAGGATGACTACTACTATCAATAATGACAATCATGGTCATTAACAAGGCCATTGAAAGCAGGACGGACAAGAATATGCAACACTGTTCATAGTGAACAGTCTCCGCGGTAATGTTCACGATGGTCAGTCAAAGGAAAGAATGGAGGTTATAAGGCAGAGGGAGGAGTTTGATGGTGAGAGATTGGGGGCTAGGGTTTTGAGAGAATCTAGGATTTTATGGAGGCTAGGGTTTTGTGGCTCTAATACCATATTGAATAATAAAATATCATTGATTTTCATTCATATATCAAAAACTACTACTACTCCCCTTTATATAAAAATATAATATTAACAAGCTTATTGTGTAGTCAATGTGGGACTAAACACAATTATTTTCTTAGTTACATTCCTAAAATCTCTCAGTCATCAAATCTCTAATTTATACTCCTAATATATTATTCCTAAAATAACTATAACAATATAGATTTCCATAATATATTCCTTAAAATGACCCAATGGTAAATAATTTTGCGAATGTAAAAATTTATGATTTTGCGAGCCATAACGAATATTTTTTGGCTTGTTTTAGTCATTTCGACCTATTAGTAAATAAATTTGTGAGGGTTAAAATTCATAATTTCATGAGCGACTACCATTGATTTTTTGCCATTTTCAGCTTTTTCGAACTATTAGCAAATAATTGCACAAAGATCAGATTTTAACATTTCTAAGTTACAATCCATGATTTTTGACCATTTTTAGTAATTTCTATCCCTGACATATGATTTCACAGTGGCCAAAATTCACGATTTTATGAGGTATAACATATATTTTTTCCAACTTTTAATCATTTTAACCAATTGGCAAAAAGATTTATAGAGGCCAAAAGTCATAATTTAATGAGCAATAACCATGATTTTTGGCCATTCTTATCGTTTCAGCCGTCTTCAAATAATTTCGCGGAGTTCTAAATTCACAATTTTATGATCTATAACCCACGAATTTTGGCCAATTTTGACCCTTTTGACCCATTGTCAAATAATTTCACAGAGGCAAAAATTAACGATTTCGTGAGCTATATAACTCATGATTTTTTTTATTTTAAGTTATTTCAACACACTGATAGATAATTTTATGGAGGCCAAAACTCACGATTTCATGAGCATAACCCCTAATTTTGGGCATTTTCTTTAACCAGTTGGCAAATAATTTCACGGTGTCTAAATATCACAATTTTGTCAGCTATAACCTACAATTATTTCACATTTTTAGCCATTTTGACCCCTACGAAAATAATTTTGTAGTGGTCAAA